GCGAATTTCTACAGCAGCGCCTTCTCTGTTACGACAAACATGCACAATGTGGAACGACAACAAGCTTTAAAAAGGATTCGCACGCTTCCCAAACTTTAAGTGCGCTTAGTCTCAAACAGGCAGAATATTTAGTAGAAAGCAGCTGAGCTATTTCCCCTATAAAAAGGAATAGAGTCTGACTGATTACTAAATAATTTCCTTCCTTTAATACGCCATGTTATGCCTTGATCACTTTAACTTGTTTTCAATATTTTGGTAGAAGTTCAAGAAATAATCTTCGTTTAGTAATCATGCCATTATGATGTAGTTCGTAAAGAATAACCGAGTGCATCGCAAAAAATAGATTGGAAAACAAATTTTGACCTTTTATTTTGCGTGAAAGTGTGGAATAAAATTTTTGATCCTTCTCGATGGGTAAAATAATTCCTTTCCCTCGAGCTGATCAATCAGCTTTCAAGTTACCTTTTTATTTGTATGAAAGAATGACTAATTTTGTTTCTGGTATCGTAAGTTTCTCCACTTTGCTCTCATTACATGTGGATTTTTATATCCTTAATTTAAAATCTTGTTTTAATGTATTTTATTGTTACCGAGCCCATCTCCAGCACTTATATATGTAAATAATAAGACGATTTAATCTTTATTAATTAACAATACTTTATATTGCATTTTTTCCGCTGCAACTGCATTGTGACTGATCAGTTTGATATAAATCTTTTCTTTATTTGAATACAGATGCAATATTCCGTACCATACCGCCGGCTGGTTACGTAAACATTCTGGCAAACATAAGCGTAGGATTTATTGGAAAATATTGGTTAATGTAATAGTTAAAAAATTCAAAGATCGGTATCAGGTGTTGGGTTATTCAATCAGATATAAGAACGTATAAATTAACCATTTAATGCATGAAATATGGTTTATTCTATGCGAACAGACGAATTCAGGTCGTTAATGAGAAATAATTGATCTAATATAATGATATAAATGATTCAGACGACTTAAAAAGTAGTATCAATTCATTGAATAATGCAAGAAGCGAGTAAGTATAATATGTGTGCGAATATTGGCTTATTCGACAAGCGCTGTCTAAAAGATAATTGACATAATCACAAAAGACACTTTTTCGCTAGATTTCAGGAGAAATTTGGGGTGATGATGTCTAATTTGTTTCTTGTTCCCGGTAATCGTTCGTAGATAATTCAAACATCAAAACAGCAAAAAAACAATTTTATGTCCGACTTGTATTATCAACATCGTTATAAAAAGTTTATAATTGTTTAACTCCAATGCTGGTCTCAACATGAGTAAGAATACGCATTATAAACTCAATTGGTACAGAGACTGTTTTAGAAGTGTATCAAAAAAAACTCAATAAATTGAGTAGCGTAAATATTGATGAGTTAACCTCAATAAATTTAGTAGTATAAGTATTTATGAGTTGACGCATGTTAAAATGCTCGATATTCATAATATTGTATCACATGGGCATACCTCATCCGTAAATTTTGTATACAAGGTTCATAAAAACATTGATTTCGCTTATGTTGGTTCGTGTCACAGATTTATTTATGCTTGGTCAGTGTATGCAGGGTCAAATCTACTTTCCCCCATCGTTTCAGGTAACTTAAATGCATTGTAGTCATTAAAACTATTTCACATATTAAAACCAGGTATAAATCTATTCCTTTCAGTATATAAGTCTCGTATAACTATCAGGTAAAAGAATATGAAGCAATATTTTCCTGCGTAGCACAATAACTCGCACAGATTACTGGATATATTTTGCATTTATCGTTTTTATATTATCTTAATCAAATCGTCGGTTTAACAAATGTCAACTCATAATTCAACGTTAATTCAGTAAACAATTGATATAGTATCAAACCTAGGGCATGCAAGGTTTTCTCGGTTGCATGAGAGACCTTCATTTGCTAAAAAATCGGCATTAAGTCCGTTTCATTGCATCGTCAATTTCCGCTCGTAAGTTGTTTCTAACGGGCTGATCACTTTGATAGAAATTGTTTCATTTTCCGATTGCTTGATAATCTGCTCTCATATGCCTTATGTAATATGTTACACAGATAGGTGTGAACAATTTCCATTCTTCTTCCAATCAAATGAATACATAACCAAAAACCGAACAACATCTATCACAACATCTTTTGCTGGTGAATAATAAATTTTCTCTCAAAGTCATTTTTTCCATTGTCGAATGTCCTTTACTCCTATATTTTTGATGACAGTTACCCCATGTCCTTTGTATCAATCTTAACATTGGCTATCAATATTTAAATACTTCAAACTAAAAGTTTCTACGGTCAGATATTGCTCTTCCTCGATTTTTTACCTTAATGAATATTTTAAGGATTTTACCCGCCAATTTCGTTAATACCCTTCGACCGGTGTTCGTGGCTCTTATTTTTTTAAATTCCTTAACCCTTTTAAAAAAGTATTGCTCGGGTAAATGATAGACGAATTCATAGAGAAGCTTTTTAAATGCCAATGTCTCACTGAAGAGGAGGTCAAGCAGCTGTGCGAAATGGGCAAGGACATTCTGTCGAGAGAATCTAATATTGTGTCGCTCAAATCTCCTATCACGGTATGTGGCGATATTCATGGGCAGTTTTATGACCTGATGGAACTGTTCAAGGTGGGTGGAATGCCGCCCGACACGAATTATTTGTTCATGGGCGATTTCGTGGATAGAGGCTTTCACAGTGTGGAGACGTTCTCACTTATGCTGTGTCTGCGCATCAAGTACCCGAACAGAGTCACGATATTACGAGGAAATCATGAGAGCAGACAAATAACCCAGGTATACGGCTTCTACGACGAGTGTGTGCGAAAATACGGCAGCAGCATGGTGTGGAAGGAGTTTACGGATTTGTTTGATTATCTGCCGCTTGCTGCGATCATAAACGATTCATTTTTCTGCTGTCATGGCGGGCTTAGCCCCACAGTTGATACAATAGACCAGATACATAAGATTAACAGGGTGGTTGAGGTGCCACACGAGGGCTCAATGTGTGATTTGCTGTGGTCCGATCCGGACGAACGCATGGGGTTCGGGTCTTCACCGCGTGGTGCTGGTTTCACGTTCGGAAAGGACGTGACCACACGCTTTAATAAGACGAACGGCCTGAGCATGGTGTGCCGTGCGCACCAACTGGCAATGAACGGTTACAATTACAATCATAACAAGGAATGTGTGACGATTTTCTCTGCGCCCAATTACTGCTACAGATGTGGAAATATGGCCACTCTGATGGAAATGGATGATAAAGGAAATTATACCTTCAAGCAGTTCATGCCCGCGCCAGAGACGGAGGACAAGGAAAACGTGAAAAAAATACCTGACTATTTCATTTAAGGGTGTGATAAATGATGGCAGGGTATGACAGTTTGTACAGATGGGTTGTTTGTGGTGTGTTGTGGTATAGGGGTGTGCAAAAGATGGGGAGGCGACTGAAAGTGATCAATATGTTGATGCGCACCGCATCTTGTTCTTTAAGCTGTGCTTAGATCATGATGCTCTGCGAATGTGTATACGGTAGAGTTGTGGAATGGGGGTCTTAGCATTGGTGTTATGTTTCTAGCGTATGACATCATTTAGCTGAAATATTACGCACTAGAACGTAGAGAGCGCCATTGATTTGCATCCTGATTTGGCATACATGGTTGCTCGATGATGATGGTGCTGTTCTATGCACTTGGTGGCAACTTGCACCGCATCGCTTTATGAAGCACAGTCAGAGTGTTTCTGTGTTTTTTCATGCTGCCGATCGCTACCTCGTGTGTTGATGTTTAATAAAGGAACGCATTGAATGTTTTTATCCCTTGATGCATTACTTCGGAAATTTTGTTCAAATAAAAAAATAATTAATTGTTGATTTTGCATGATTTATAATTATGCATATATATGGATCTATACTTTTGCATGAATGGCCGTGTGATATGTTTGTTATCGAAACTAAAATACACAATAAATAGAAAAACACGAGTACGTGTTTGTGCTTAGCTTTGAACTTTAGTAGTGGCGAAAATAGCTTTGTTCATGTTTATAAGGTACGGCATTCGATACGACGTTGGTTGCTTATTTTATCTAATAATATCTCTGGATTCGAGTTGAGGTGTACCATTGGATATTACATTGTGTGCGAAGAACGATAAAATTTTGTTTGTAACAAGATTTAATTGTAGCATTGAAGAGTGAGAGAAAATATCAACAATTTGGACATAAATATGCTGTTCTTAGGTAAACCTGTACGTGTGTTTGTAAAAGCTTTTTTATAAAGAATAGAAATATTCACAAAATGAAATTTAGTGCAGATCCGCCAAAATACAATAATTTGAAAGCGTAAAAGGGCATTTTCTATAAGATTTAACATGTTAGAGCATTTTATCAGTACCTCAATCGAAAGATTTGATCTACAAGTATTTTTATGACAAGGCTATGCAACAATCATGGTAAACACTATTTTACCTGCGAATTGCATGTAATATAACGTTAAAAATTTTTTATTCGCTTACAATACGGTGGCCGGCTTTGATCATCATTGTTACCACTGATTATCACCGCAGAACAAGACAAGCAAAAATATTCATTTGGATTATCAACCAAATACGCAAAGAGCGGTTTTTTACAGCTCTCAATCGAACACACAATGCTAGATGTTTGTACTTTATCCTCGCAATAAATAATATTATTGAGACGGTTGTGACATTTTTGTAGGTACAATTTTGTATCACAAATATAACTAAATATTTGTTTGAATACCTTTCCCTTGAACATGTCGCCAATTACTGAATTAACCATTTTGAGCTCTTCCCATAAAAATGATAAAACTTCATCGGCCAATAATTGTTTTTTTATGTGGTTAAGATCACAGGATTGACCATTTGTATCAATCATTTGTATTAAAAGCTTTGATAACTCTTCCAACTCGGTGATTTGCTGGTGGATGTTGTTCTTGATATCGTCATGAGTTGGTCTATAGACTATCATGGCGAACTGCACCAACAAACTGCTTCTAAACACACTTAATAATGACTTGGCATGTTTAAATATGAGTATTTGCTTATTCGTTTCGGTATCAACTCTCACTCCATCCAGTGCCTCGGCAAATGACATACGAACACGATTTTTTATGAGGAGATCACTGCTTACTTCCGTCCCTTCGTCGAACTGTTTGATAAGATCATCGATTCGCTTGATTACCGACTCAAGTTCCGATTTAAAGCTGTTCAGCCTGCAAAATGTAGGAACAACCTGATCTTGTTCACTGTCAATTTGGACCGATGCAGAACCGTGCATGATGAAAAATAATGGAAGAAGCATGCAAAATAGAAGGCTGAGTAATATCATGGAATGGGTGCGAATGCTTTTTCTGATCTTTTTTTGGTAACTTTTTTAATTTTAAAAAGGCATTGTCAATACGTGGCATATTGCTATGGAACACATGAAAAGGAGAACCCGATGAATGTTATATGTCCATTTATTTACTGTTTCTAAACGTTTTTGTGTTGCAGAAACCATTATTCAATGTTAAGTCTCTTCTTATATGCTTTGTTCTACCATAATAGGTTTTAAACCCTTTTTGATAATAATTTTGCATCAAATACACAGCAATACCTTGATATAAGCGATATTTACGCTTTATATCGTGTTAAACTTGTGCTACTCGTAAAAAATTATACGAATTGATTTTATGTGTAAAAGTTAAATTGGTGCGATTACAGCACGCACAAAATTTTGCAAAAATGATGCAGAGGTATTGCTAATATGTAGAAAGCGGTTTCATAACTAACCATTTAACTTTTATTTTTGGTGTTATCGCTCTGTTTCTCCATCCCAAGTGAACAAGAACATGAGCATCCATATGCCTTAAAAAGATCATTATTTCTCAAACTATTATCTCTTTATGTGAGTACTGAATGATCAAGTGCTCTCTTGAGCAGCATCCGCAATTATCAATTATTGTTAAAACGATAATTTGGGAAAACAAGCAAATCTAAAAATATGAAATTTACGATGTATTGATTTGAGTTACAATCGTTGTAATGGTGAATTATTGTCAGAATGTATTTTGGAGGTATGAACAATTCTTGTAAGGTAAGCAAAAGTATATATCTTGAAAAATGGCTGAGAAGAGGACAGGAATACTACAAAACAGAATTTTATGCTGGATTAAGACAATTGTGCCTTAACCTCTTGTAAAGAATAGCTACAGTAAAGCACCAGGTCTCTTTTACGACAGTTTACATAATAATTTACCCGTTATCCAAGATCAAAAACAATTTAATCATGTAGCAGGCCCCTAATGATATGACATTGCAGTTTATCGTCCTTAATTTATGAGCATATTTTGCATGGAGAGATCATTTCTTGAACAGTGATGGTTGATCTGAAACGCTATGTTTGGTTTAAACAATGAATATTATAAACGGTGGTACTAATAATGTATTTTCACATAATGAGCATTGTTTCTGAATTGGTTTGATTAACCACAAAAGCAAAAAAATGGAAATATTAGACATATGTGATAATTTTTCATAAAAATACGCGGTAATCCACCGCTGCAAATTCTCTCATAATAATATTTTGGTACATATCACTATAAATGTTCATTACCACAAATATTTTTGGTTACACTCACAACAAAACCATCAAAAGAGGAAATTATACCGAGAGGAAAGGATTTGGCACCATAACGAAAATGTATGTATTGAACGGACTAGTTTGTATGCCTGACAATCAATGTTTAGCATTTTGATTGGCATCATTCATTTATGGGTGTCCTAGAACCAGTTAAACGATAAATTTACCTATTTGGCGGAAATATAAGCAGTTAAACTAAAACCGGGCATGTTCAATGGGAAATCGATGAGTAGATCAAATGTCGTTTATTTATGGAAAAGTGTGATCTCCTGTATGCCAGATGAACCGCTTTGTATGATAACTATCCCCATATTTGGTATGTATTTCTCATTTCAAAGCAGCTCGTAGCATTTTAATAATTTCTAAATCACTTTCCACCAGATTACCTGTAAAATTATAAATTAATGACCTTAACCAAACCATACATTGATACGATATCTGCTCTTCTAACATTATTTCATTGATAACGCTCTTCAAATACGCCACATCCTCCTCCCTCACATTCTTGATGATCTCATCAATCCGACCTGCGCATGTTTCACGTATGCATTCCTTAATCATGGCCTTGCTTCTTGAGTTGATGCTGCCCAGCAGAGCACGAACATATTTGCGCTCTTGCAACGATTCCTTTATCTCGTTCTCATCCATTTTTGTTAAGAATGCGCCTTTCTCTATCTCCAGATTTCTTACCTTGAAGAGAAACACACTCTCACGTGTCAACACCAGAAATCCATTCGGCACGTACTTAATCTTCATCGCCTCGATTACATCTGTGTGTTTGAATTCGTCCTTCCTTTCTACACCAAGTCTCTTCTTGTAATTTTCTTTTTCTTTGTTACGCGACAACTTGAGTGTCTGGATGACACATCCCGTTTTCAAATCAACTATTTTAATCTCGTTTGCCTGTGCACCACACACAAGAGTGGTACCATCGTATGTGAGCGAGCAGCTTGTACACGGTTTGTTGCTGATGAACATTTCATTTCTGCTTCGGCTCACAAACTTCAAATTGAACGATTTTACAATACCAAAGCTGCCATCAACCACCAAAATCTCCTTCTCCAGGCACACTATCACATTATTATTGCTTAGTTCGAAATCGTAAATTGTTTTCTTGATTTCGAAGTTTTCCATCCGTCCATTCATGAAGAAATAACGAATGAGCTGGTTGTCCATGCTCAAGAAGTATACGCTGTTGTTGAAGTAACACATTTTTCTTATCATAGCACTCATTTTCAGCGTATCAACTATTTTTGATCGTCTTATGTCCACAACGTTTATCTCGTAGCTGTCGTAGTTACAAACAAACAGCACAGAGTTATCCTCGTTTACATCTGCACAGCTCACCTTGAAACCAAGGTTAATTTCCCTGAACAGCGTGCCATTCTTCACATCATACGCTTTTACGAGACACGTCTCTGTGATGCAAATCAGAACGTTACACCTGTAGAATATTTTGAAGATCGGCTCGTCAACATTGAAAACATCTGTGGTGCTACGCCCAAAGTAGCACGTATTATTGGTTAGGTTAGCTCTGCGCACCGTATTATCTGCACAGCTCAGCATCACATCGTTGTTTTCACAAAAATCTACGATTTTGCACAATGGAATAGAATACAAACAGCAAAGCGACTCTCTCTGTTTTTCATCTTCGGTGTTTGTAGGGTTAGAGGCTAGAAGATTGGCATCCCGTGCTCCGCGTTTTTTGAAAAATTGTCTGTCTCCGGTATTAACGCACAAATATTCGTAAACAGCGATGCCATTTGTGCCCCTTAGCACGATTTTTTGGTCCAAAACACGCATTTCGTACGCACAGATATCCACGCCATACTCACAAACATCATCATCCTTAACAACCAATACTACATTTTCATCACTCAATAGAAACAGCCGATCATTCATACGGCATGCACACAGTATATTCCTATCTAAGAACTTCCTTTTCACTATTTTTCTTCGTTTTGTGCTGAATGTGTTTATCGTTCCACGCTGCGAGACTGTAACAATAAAATACTCCTTAGAAAGCGTTTCAAGAATATCAGATGGTCTCTCATTATCAACTGCAGTGTTGCCAGTGCAATTTTCACCACGTGTATCCTTGCCGTTTCCTTCACCAGAACCAATTACATGAATACATTTACCGGCATCTTCATTCTTGCCTTCTCTCCCTTTCGTTCCATCATACATGCTGCAATCCTCTTTTTGATTCGCACGCTCCCCCGCGTTCTCTTCGCTAGTTTCTTCAGGCAGGTCCTCATAGAAAAATACATCAACCGGCATCTCGCGGTGGTAACACAGCACTTTGCTCCTTCCGTCCCTAAAACTGCTCATCCTTACGGTAGAATCTTTTCCAACACTCAAAACAATCCCATCCTCAAGTACTTTAACCTTCAGTACATTCTCGCTGTGCGCTCGCACATCCCCAATTCGCTTAAACATGATCAAATTGTACCTAACAGGCAATTCATACATGAAAAGCTCCTTGTCACCCACAACCAAGCACGTATCAGTAACTGTGAATGCACCCTTCATCTTCATCGTTGCCAATATCTTGGATTGATTCAACATATAAAGTTTTTCGCTGGTCTGTGCAAAAATGAACGCGCCGTTGCTCTGCAAATCTATTATCTCACCGTGAAGATCAACGATAAACGTGGTACTATGATTATTCAGTGCATATATTGTGTTTGATGATGAGAAGTAAAGTGTGTTGCGGTGCTGTACTATCCCTTTTGATGTAGAAAGCGCAGGTATTATGTTTGTGAGGATGAAAGCCATTTTTGAGGGTGGAATGGTGGGTTTTGAAAAATGCTGAAGAGCAAAATTTTGAACATTTAGTGTTGCTGGGCACTTCGTGCTTACCTGTCTTGCAAAAGTACCAGTAAGGAGGTAAAATGAGTTTGCAAGGTGTATCCCAGATGAATAAATCCGTTGTTTGAAAAACTTAAGATGTGCACTTAATGCTTTAACCACGTATAACTACATCTTTTACACGTAGACGAATAGATGATGCCTGTACTGCGATACGCATAGCACGAATTGATAGGAGCACTGTCAATTAATATAACAAACAGCCACTTCAAGCATTAGTTCGTAATTTTACTGAAAATGTGTTGACCTCCTGAAGGGAAGCCGTTCAAAAATACAGGTGACCAATAAACAGCAGCAATTGATAAATAAATGGTTTATTCATGTCTGAGTTAAAGAAAATGCCATCCTACGGTAGTAACGATGCTTGAGGAACAACATTATAATTACTTCTCCTTTTTGTGCAAAAAAATAGTTATGTGATGGGGCATTTGCTCTGAACACCCCATAGCACAGGTCTAATCCGAGAGCAAGACTTGCTTTGATACGTAAGCTTTCATGTCCAGTAATAACCATTTAATCATTCATACTGCCATGCAAATCTACCAGATCAAAGTACATGATTCCCTTTTCGATCATTCCTCGCACCTCCTCGTCATCGATTTTCATCAGTAACTTCATAAGTAATTTTTTATTTCTCTGGACGTCACCATACCTCAGGCAAACGCTTATCAAATGGTCCAAAACTTTTAGTCGCTCCTTATCTGTTGCTTGTGTGATCACTTTTAGCCCTTTTTTGTAAAAGTCTGTGTATTCTCTGTTGACTCTATCGATGCTCAGACTTTTATAATTGTTTTCACGATTACCTGATTTTTTGAGCGGATGAACCCGCCCACTAGCAGCGTTATCACCATTTTCTTTTTCTTCAAACAGAAACTCATGCGTTATCTTGGCTTGATCATCCATAACAGGCCCTGTTCTAAATTCGTTACCGTGTTCCAATTGATTTGGCCCTGTAACTTCGTTGTTTACGGCATTATCATCTTCGCCTTGGACACTTATTGTTGCCTTATCAGCAGCCTTCTCATGTTGCACGTGCCAAGATTCGCCTGTAGATCCCTCCCCATAACCGTAAGAGTCGCTTATTCGCACTCCCACGTTTCTTGCTGTCACATTTGTGGCACACATAACATTCTTTTCGTTACTAATTGTCTTTTCACCATTCCGACTCTCACATTCTTTATTCATCTTCATGCTATTTTTTACCTCTTCACCGCTACGTTCCAACACCTCATAAGTCTCTCCATCATCTTCTGTCGTGTCATAGTATCTTCTCGATTTATGCTTTGATAGATCATACCCGGCATTCATTTCGAACAACTGGCATATCAAATCTACACCGTAAATGTTCAAATGTTTGGCCAGAAAATCTCGGATTTCTCTCAATTTTGTTTTATCCTTTATTTCACGGAGAACACCGTAGAAATAGCCGATATTTGGGTAATTCCGTATGATACTAACCAAGAGCCTGTCACTTCCCTTTTCAATGATCTTTCTAACAATCTTTTGCACATTTTTATCATCCGAGAACAACATGAGCGTCTTTTCCATCTTTTCAAACGCAAACCGTGCTGTCCTTTTAGAAATATTGCCAAACAGTGTATCATACGCGAGATGATCCACAATTTCCATTCTAAGACACTTATCGATCACCTGCCTGTCAAATACTCTATACGTTCTCAGCACGTCTAAGGCGAAGAACACAAAATTGTTCTGGTATGAATGCATCAGTCTGTACAAGAACACGTTCACATCTGGTATTGCCACGCCATGTCTTACCATGAAGCGCAGACATTCGAGCACAACAGCCACTTGATCAGCACTCATCTTGTAAAGACCAGGAAATTTCAACCGGCTTGATATCTCACCAATCCATTCTTTGTTCTTTTTTATGTTGTGAGTGCGTGTGACCACCTGTACAATCTTAGTCTTTAGGATGTTGTCCTCCGATTCTCTGAACAACGTAAGTAAAAAGACCTGTTCTGTTTGGTTCAGCTTTATGTCACCATCTAGGTCCAACATTATTTGCAATTTTATGAAGAGAATGTCATTAAGCATATCATCAGGTTGTACCTTTAGGGAATAAAACCGTTTGAAATTGGTGTGATACGATAATCTGTCTGAGAGTGACCCCCTTATGGCTGTCGGTTGGAGAGAAATAGGCGGTTTGTGCGGGTACTTCACTATTACTTGCTTCACCTTGTTGAGAGTGTTGTATTTGTCAAAATTTTTTCGTAAAATGTCCAGGGCACTCCTTGGTATATTTCTGCTAGGCATGCAATCCTTTACGCGATCAGCACTGCTTTTGACCTTTACTCCATGATTTGCAATGTTGTTATTTTCTGTGCATTGTTCTGTATCATATTTCACGGCTTCGCTATTCGTCTCACCCACAAACTCTGTATAAATCGTTTTTGCCTCCTTTTTCACACAACCAGCTTCCAGCACATTTTCTGAACGGATTAACGCTATGTTTCCTGATTCTTTATGTTCTGCCTGGTGAGCACTGCTATCATTCACCCATCTATCCTCGTCATCGTGACCATCTCTTTCACTACCATCCTCAAATGCATCGTTCCCATCCTTTCTCGTACCATCCATCCTGTAGAGCTTGTAAAAGAGTACGAGCATCTCTCTTGTGCACTCAAATCGTATTTCATTCCTAATATCCTCTATTGGAACCTCCAAAGCATTGGCTAAATACCTTACCGCGAGTATGTCACCTCTTTCCATATCTTTCTTCAACGTGTTTACCATCATAAGCAGCTCGTCCGCATTCCTAACTTGTAACGCGCCAGTGTATCCCAAGAATTTTATCCTCCTGTCTGCATGCTGACATGCGTTTATGAACACGAACGCGTCCGTAACATCGTTATTAATGGATAAATAAAGATTTTGCTGCAGACACAGTCTGTCCATGGTCTTTCGCTGCGCAAGTTTCCTGCGCATTCTCTCTATGCGTACCTGCTTTTCTGTGGTGTTTGGAGTGCTCAGGTACGCTATGAAGGTGTGTAAGACTGAGCGTGTAATTGTTGGCATTGTTTGTTTGGTAATGAATTGTTTTTATTGTTTGTTTGCGTACGTTTGTTTTGGAGTGAGATAAGATCTGATTGATGGCTGTTTCACCAGGCGCATGGTCTATAAACACGGTGACGGCATGACAAGAAATAGCTGCTCATAAATGCAGGGAAAGAGACGATATTGCAAATGCTACTAGACGAGAAAGACTTGACAGATGAGACAGCGTACCGAAATGCTACCAGAGGAGATATGGTAGAAGGTTACGATTATACAACGAATACTAAGACATTTATGCGATGATTAATTCCTTTGGATGGAGATGCTGTGATATTGTGCAAAAGCTTCACCTTGTATGACATTTCTTTTCTTTCAATTCATTTCCTTCTTCCTTTTCAACTCCTTTCTTTCTTTCCAATTCCTTTCTTTCATTCCAATCCACACAAAAGCAAACCAAATTCTTACCCCTACCTCTCAAGCCATACGGCTTTGATCAAGTGTAGTATCTGTTTCTGTCAGTGTAAGAACTGGCATTGTCTTTCTTGAAAGACAAACGCATTTATTGGGACTGGTGCTGTGCTCAAGCATTGCAGTGTGCTTGCATGCTGCATGTTTTCGACATGGTCACTGCCGGTGAGGGACTTCCTTTGGTTGGCTCGAAGCCGGCATTTGAATAAATTATGCTTTTGTTTACGGTGTCTGCAAATGGTTGTAAGTGTTTGGCTGCGTGACTGGTGGTGCAGGATGATCCCTTTATGTTAATATCGTTTGAGTTGTTCCTCATGAGCAATAATTGCTTCCTAAGAATTTGTATCGATGCTATCATCCATATTTTTACCAGCTCAGCTTATGGTGGTTTATGCTATCCAAGCTCATCATTTTATGAGGAGTGCTCTTCTCACGGCTTGTTGCGCTCCTCGATGAATCCTTGTCGTTCTTTTTCCTTTTCTTCTCATTCATGCATTATCTCTAATTTTGTACTATTTGAACTGCACATATGGACCTGTTCTTTGTTAATGGTGGTGCTATGGATTCGTGCAATAAAAATTTGTGTGTTTTTTTGCCATTTAGGAGCAAAAACCTTGTACCGAATCGATATGTCCATTTTAAGTGCCATACCACGCTCTTTACGCATCAACAATGAATAATTCTGTTTATTAAATGAAGCACGCAAAATATGAGAGCTACCGTTCGATGAAAGCAATTGGGTAAGAAATTGCGTGGTAGTAAAACTGGTAGAAGAACAGAAAGACACCGTAGTACAGCATATTCTGTGTATAACTACTATAAAAATGCTTTTAAAAACTAGCTATGCCATTTACATTCATAAAACTAAACTTTTTTGCATCATAACATTCTTCTCTTTAAAACATCATTTTGCTTTATTTTAAGCTCATTTGACTTATTTTGCATTCCTTGATGAGTGATATAAAAATTGGCATTGACCCTGAGTCACTCAAGCTAAAGGACCCTTTAGTAAATGCTTTGTATTTTCTGTACTCATTTATTTAACCTGTTACTTGCAAGAATATGAACTAAATGTGGTAAAAATTGGTTATGACATATTTTTTTATTAAAAGTACTTCTTTGTATCGCAGTGAGCAGAGCATTTGATAGGTGTAGTAAGCATATTAAAATTGCTGCTTATTTATGGTTGTTAAGGACGTAGTAATGTGTTTTAAAGATCATAGCTTGTTCCAGTTCTTCTTAATTTCCATCTAGTGATCAAGATTATTCTTGACAGGTAATCCATTTCATGCTGAAAATACGATCTCATCCTTCTTAAGTAACCATTCATGGTGATTAAATCCTCTATTTTATGTTAAATACTACACTATCATCAAATAGCGCTGCTGTTAAAGTATTTTATACGTATATTTAACGCACTATTCAAATACCTTTGCCATAAATCGTAACATTGCTTGTACGTGATGTAAGGTTAGATTCTTAACATCTCCTTATCGCACTGAGAAGGACTTTTACGAACGATAGCGGTTTATCACGAGTGAGCAGTGCTAAAGCACCGAATAATATTTTAATTATGAACTGACCGTGCAATTTAAAATTGTGAAAAGAGCAATTTGCCTGTACTTTACTTGTTTGTTAAACAAGTGAAGTACTACAACAGAAATATGTTATATGCGTACAACAACAGCAATGGTACCTTAGTTATCCTCTATACTGCCATTTTAACTTATTTCTTGCCACCTTCATTAGTCATAAACGGATAGGTCAACCATCCGCACTGTTCAAGTAGATAGCACATTACTTTACTTTGTTATGTGGCAAAGAATCAATTTCTAATCCAGTTCCGTACCTTTTTACGCATCAGCTGGTTTTGTCATTCAAATAGCGTTTATTACCCCGTTCACATCAACAACACCCAAGCAAATATACTTGTCCGATCCGCTAGATTGATAATTAATAAAACAGTGCGTATTAACTTTTTGTTCATATAAAAATATCGTTATGAAAGAATTAAACTACGCGTGAATGGTTTAATCAGCTATTTCGGTCGTATAGCACGAATTTATACAATATTAAGGAGCTCTCCCCGTTTTAGGGGTCCAGAATGGAGCACTATCCCAACAGCTCAATAATCTACCGCTACATATTATTCTTTTAATGATACACTTACCAGTTCATACATCTCTGGCACCTCAGTATTGTCTAATCCTCACGCCCAAGCCCAAACACCCTTTTTCGGTGCATGAAGCCCAATTTGGGCACCACCACCAATATCAGCGACAAAATGTTCAAATAAAACAGGTAAACGTTCCAAACAACCAAATGATTGATCAATATAAACATCACAATCGGAAGCACCATAAAAAAGATCGTGGCGGTACCGTATCCAAGCTGCTCAACCATCTGTTCCCAGAACGAATGATCGTTAAAGCGTGTGTCAAAGGGATCGCCCACAATCAAGTGAAAGAATACGAACGTAATTACGTTGTACAGCAGAGGCGTCACCTGATACGCAATTTCTTTGGTGAATACGAAGCGTAGGATGGAGTGACCTATCATTACTACGGAAATGTGGGCAATGAATGAGCCTTTGTGCACGGTCCATGCTATGTTTTGGGAAAGGCCGCTTGGCTTGTCTGTGGTCGGGTCTGTTCCTGAATCGGTTGCCATTTGAAGGGGTATGATGAAATTTCTTGGTTTTGTTGGAACGATTAAAACGAAATGTTTTGGATCGTGCCCAATTTTAGCTGTCCGTTATTGATTGGTGTATCAGTTCGTAGTGCTCAGCACATATCGAGCATTTTTGTGAGGAAATGCACAACCAATCATTTGGTGTATGCGTGCGCACAAGCAGAGACGTGCTGAGTTGCTGCATTAACACCTTGACCGTATAACGTTCCATGGCTCTACTGAGAACAGCTGCACCTAAAAGTCACAAAATCATCCAATCCTTTGCTGAGCCTCCTGTATAAAAGTAATTCTATCCATTTTTTGTACTGATGTATTTCTTGGAATAAGGTCCAAACTAAAATAGAAATATGCAAAAAATCTAGCAGTGTTGATTCGGATAAAACCGCTGTTGCTATAAAAGCTAATTAATTGTATTATTCTGATATTTAAGGCTAATTCAGGAATTGCAAGTTTAATTAAAAATATAATTTGTGTGCTGTACACGCACGAAAAATACCTAAGTATGGCAAAACCGGGTTATAAGAGCCTGTGACCCGATAAAAATAACAAAATAAACCAAAACGATTATCCTAAATGTTGTAAGAGAACGTAGTAAAGATAGAAATGAAGCAGTTAATCCCTGTCCATCTCACATTTTAAAATATGTGCTAAACTGTGCACTTACAATTTCTATATTCACACTTCTCATGGCAGCACCTATCCACACATAATCTCGTTACAACTCGTTTACCTAACACACCCTGCGTTTCAACCAACGAATCCGCGTGTTGAACCAGAATGATGAAAAGTGCGTGTTCAACTTCTAATACCGCATTTTTACGCACAATTCGTTTTTTATCTCCCAGATAAAAACATCCTATCCTTGGCATACGTCTCAAAAGCGCTAGACAAACAAAAATAAGAAATTACAGCAACAAAAACGATCCGTTAATAGCCCGTTCGTCCACCTTGCACACTAATTCATTCGTTTGATTGGCAGTATTTTGGGCAGTCGTTGCTTAGCAGTTGTTCGCTTGGGGTGTTTTAACGGTTAAAGTGTCTTTCTAAGCGGTAAAACCTGTTATGGCGCGATACGGTTTATCCTCATCGGTGTTTAATACGGTAACATAGCCTTATTTGCAGCTGTTCTGTACGTGTTCTTTGGTACAGTTCTTCATGCTTGAAATGAAATATAAACTTCATCGTTCTGAACCGCTTTGTAATGCAGTTTGATACTTTCAACAGAAAATGTTCTTCTTAGCCACTCCTCATGTACCTCATCATACTCTTCCAGATTACCCCGTTGCTCCATTCAATACTTTAATGCCCTGTCATATTCCTCGGATCCTGCCCTTCCATCCCATCATATTCCTCCAATCATGCCTTAATGCCCTGTCATATTTGCTCCACCTACCACCCCTCAACGCCTTTTTTCCATTGCACCCCCAACACCTTCAATACTCCCAGCGCACCCACCCCCATGAATCTCATAAAATCGTTTCTCAAACAGAACGGTCTATTTCGCCACCACCTCACCTCCTACAACCACTTCATAACCACCGACCTAAAAAGCATCCTAAAAGTAAACAACACCATTCTATCGGATATAGACCCAACATTTTACATGAAAATGTCTAACATACGGGTGAACAAGCCCAACATAATTGATAACATGATAATTAGAGACGTATTGCCCGAAGAGTGCAGATTGAGAGACTTGAGTTACTTGGGTGATATTGTAGTTGATGTTGAGTATTGTGTGTGTAGGAAGGTTAGTGTTCGAAAAGATGTTGTTATTGGAAGGATGCCCGTTATGGTTGGAAGTCTGCTTTGCCATTTGGGGAGTGTTGGAGAGAATGATGAAATGAGATGGATAAGAGAGAGTATCTTGGGTCATGGTACGTGTGAAAATACAGAGAGTGATGTGATGGTGGGTAAGATGCCCGGTGGTGATATTGATATTGCTGTGGGTGGCACGCAGGCGCACAGAATGAAAGGCTGTTTAGCGATAGAAAATGATGCAAGTGTGATCGATGAAAGTAGCATTGGTGGAGAAATGAATGAAGGAGCGGCCTGTGCCACATCTTTTACCAGAGATGAATGCGGTATGAGAAAGGATGTTTTGGCTGAGAACCATGAGTATCCTGCGGATCACAAAGCTGTGGACCGGTCTACCAACAATAGAACGAAAAGCGGTGCTATGAAGACTCAACCAAGTACAAGACAAAATGCAGATCAAACATGCGGCTCGTTATCACGTGACATAGCACGGATGAAGGGTCTGTTTACAATAAAGAGACCGGCACATCCCAAGGAGTGTCCACTTGACGAGGGTGCATACTTCATAATCAAGGGGGTAGAGCGTGCCATTCTCATACAGGAGCAACTCTCCAAGAATCGCATCATAGTAACCAACAATACGAGCACGGTGTCATCGTTCACAAGCGAAAGGAAAAGCAGAACAACTGTGGTGCACAAGAACGGCAACTATTTTGTAAAGAATAGCGTGTTTACTGAAGATGTACCGCTGATCGTGCTGCTGAGAAATTACGGTGTAGACGAGCACGAGATCGTCTCTTTGGGATGTTCGTTGAATGATTTGCGGGTGGATGTGCGCACGTATCTCAAGAGTGTGTGCAAGGGCAGGGACGGGTTCATGGACGAGATCGTGTTGCCGAACGTAAAGCGTGAGGTAAAAGGCTTTTACTTGCTCACGATGGCACGGCTTATCGAGCACCAGGGCACGTTACGTGATTTAGACTTTCTCGGAAACAAGCGTTTTGAACTGTCCGGTTCATTGCTGTGCCTACTGTTCGAGGATGCGCTCAAGCGTTTCAATGAGGAGATCAAGAAGGGCATCGATAAAATACTGTCAAAACGGATGCGTGCGCAGGAATTCCAGCCACTCAGTCTGGTCAGTCTCAACAATACGATCACCAACACGCTGTGCAGGGCGATAAGCACCGGCAACTGGAACATTGGGCGCTTCAGAATGGAGCGAAGCGGTGTGAGCACCGCACTGAGTCGCCTGAGCTACCTCAACACTGTTAATACACTTACACGTGTGGTATCGCAGTTCGAGAAGACGCGTAAGATTGCAGGCCCACGCTCACTGCACACCTCATGTTTTGGAGTGTTGTGTCCCTGCGACACGCCCGAAGGCGAAAGCTGTGGTCTTGTTAAGACTTTGAGCATGCTCACGGAGATAACGGTGGACGTGCCGTTCGATGAAAAGGTGTTTTTGGTGCTTGGCGTGGCACTGGGCAATTTCAAGAACAGGCTTTTGGTGTTTTTGAATGGCTGTCCCGTTGGTTCGTGCAATGAGTGTATTGCTGGGCGTATTGTGGGAATGAGAAGAGAAGGATTGATTGATAAGCATGTGAGTGTGAGCAGGACAGGCAATTTCGTGTTTGTTAGTGCGGATGGTGGACGGATATGCAGGCCGTTACTGGTAAATCCGTACAGGGATGCGAGTACTGGTAATGGTGCAGATCACAGTTTGGACAGGGATCATGAACAGGATTATAATCCGGATGATGACCGTAACTTGAACGAGGATGTCCATAGAACTAAGAATTGCGGAGGTGCCACGAGTAGTATCAGCATGAGCGACCGTCATCATGGCCACGGTACCTCTGCAAGCGGTGCTAATGCGTCCAGCACCTCTGATGAAGATCACAACGCTGCGTTCAAACGCTTTCTCAGACGTACCGTGTACAACGAGTACATGAGCATATGTGACCTGGTCCATAAGGGCGTGATCGAATACCTGGACATAAACGAACAGTGCAACACTCTGATAAGCCTTAGACATCGTTACTCAACAAGCCATACACACTACGAGCTGCACCCTGTAACGATGCTGAGCTACTCGGCCACAACCATTCCATTTCCTGAACATAACCAAAGTCCAAGAAATACGTACCAGTGTGCAATGGGCAAGCAGTCGATGGGCATCGCATGTTTTAACTACAAACAACGCTTCGATAACGTACTGTTCATCAATTACTACGTGCAGCGGCCCGTTACGTATGGCGATTATGTACCAGAGGTACTTTCTGGACAGAATGTGATGGTAGCTGTGATGAGTCTCAGCGGATATGACATTGAGGATGCGATTGTTTTGAACAAGAGCAGTTTGGACCGAGGGATGGCACGTGTTACTGTTTATAAGAGTTATAGTGTTGGGATAGGGCGGTACGGGGATGGTAGCAGTGATGTTATTTTACCTTTCAAGGATGAAGACCTGGGTGTAGGTGGAAAAAGGAGTGATGAGATTAAGGGAGGTGCTGATGAGATGAGGGGAGGTGCTGATGAGATGAGGGGAGGTGCTGATGAGATGAGGAGAGGTACGGATGAGATTAAGGGAGGTGCTGATGAGATGAGGGGAGGTGCTGATGAGATGAGGAGAGGTGCTGATGAGATGCTTAGAAAGGGGAGCAAACAATGTCATGAGAACAGGCATGGCAGCCATAATGAGCATATCCGCAATGATAGTGGTAAAAAGCACAGCCATAACTCCGTGAGCAGTGCAAACACCAGCATAACGATGAATGATGGAATACGATGCGTGGGTGAAATAGTAAAGAACGACATCCTCATCAACAAGTATTCACCAAAAGGAGCGTTCAACGGGTTATTCCACAAAAAGTTAGCAATTGTTGACAGGGTGGTGGTCACAGACACGCTCATAAAAATAAAAGTGAGAGAAACACGTACACCGGTGGTAGGTGACAAGTTTAGCAGTAGGCATGGACAGAAGGGCGTGGTAGGTCGTATTATGAGAGCTGTTGATTTACCTTTTAATGAGAGAGGAATTGTTCCTGATCTGATCATGAATCCGCATGGGTTTCCCAGTAGGATGACGGTCGGAAAGATTAAGGAGGTTGTGGCTGGTAAGGTTGGAGTATTGCTGGGTAGGAGAATGGAATGCAGTGCGTACAGCTTTAATGAGTGTGATTATGGTGGAGAATGTGGTAATGATGGCAGTGACAAGTACTTCACATGCAACGATAGAGCAGCACTCAAAACGATAGAGGATTATTGCACCGTCCTCAAATCGCTTGGTTACAGCTACTCAGGCAAGGAGACATTCTACAGCGGTACAACGGGCAAACCGATCCCAACGCACATATTCTTTGGTCCCGTGTACTATCAGAGACTAAAACACATGGTAGAGGACAAAATACACGCCCGCAATATCGGAAAAAGAACGGTGCTGACACGGCAACCTACGGAGGGACGTAGCCGAGATGGTGGTTTAAGGGTGGGTGAAATGGAAAGGGACTGCCTGGTAGGGCACGGAGCTGCTGAAATGCTAAGAGACAGGCTGCTGTTCAGCAGTGATGTGGTTGATGTAGGGGTGTGCGACAGGTGCTGTGTAATTAGGGATAAGGGAGGAGCGTGCTGTGGGCGGGTTGTTGATGTTAAGGTGCCTTACGGGTGTAAACTGCTGTTCGTTGAGTTGATGGCTATGGGCATTTATCCCAGGATTAAGGTTGGGAAGTACTGAACGGTGGTTAAGGCGCACCGTTGGTACTGCGGTCTGTACTCGTACCTCAACTCTGTTATCGGTGTATGATGCGGTGCTATTACGGGTTTATTAAACGGTTTGTTATGATGGTCTCTAATCCTGTACAAAACAGAAAGTGTGTATCACTGATGAAAGGTGTTCTCCACGGTTGATCGTACCTGCCGTTATCTTTCATCTTTCAGGCTGGTGTAGTTGCCGATCAGATGTAAAGGGCCCTGCTATACAACCCTGTTAATTTGTACTGCCACGGCTACCGTTCGTATTAAACGAGTTGCTTTGCTTTGCTCAATCTTCTGTGCCAATGTCTTTCTCACCGCTCTTCAATCGTTGCCATTCATAATTTTTAGCACGCACCCCCCGATGATAAAAGATGGGCAGCCTGTAATTCTGTACTTCTCACCATCCGCCATCAAATTAATACACAAGGACAGTTTAACCACAACAAACACGCGCGCAGGACCGCTCCAACACACAAGCATATGCAGGTATAACACCATCATACACCTGAAGAACGGACCGGTAAGCATCCTCAGACCGACCCACCATCTCATAAGCAACACGATATGCAGCACGCAGGTGGTGTTTGATTATGACGCTTCCTTTCTGTGTTTCATTATGGGACTGAGGAGCACGGATGTGCTGTTTGAGGCAGGGTTTGGTAGCGGTGTGCTGACGGGTAGTTTGGCACGGTTTGTACGGCTTGTCTATTCGTGTGAACGGGTCGTTGATAGGATAAGGAATGTGGGCGAGAATGTGATTGTATATGAGGGGGATTGCTGTGATTTAGTGATTGATTTGAATGGGAACGGTGGGAGCAAGGATTTGCACAGAGATAGCACGGATAGAGGCGTTGAACGTGCGGTAGAAATTGACGGTAACCGTGGTGCACGTACAGATGGCGGTAAAGAATGTGATCAGGAGAATGCCGATCATCCCGCTGGTAGGGCTGAAGGACATAGCACCAACGGTGGCAGCGCTACGGATGATAACGAAAATGCAATCAACGGAACGTATGGCAGCGCAAATCGTACCGGGGCTAAGAATGTGATAGACCAAATGATGGATGGCGTGGTCTTGGACATGCCAGAACCGTGGCTCGCAATACCCACCCTTAAAACGGTCCTCAAACGTAACAGAACGATGTGTGTGTTCGTTATTTCTGTGCAGCAGGTGACCAAAACGCTACGAGCAATGCACACCTTCAAGGATGTGAAGGTGTATGAGAACGTGGGACGGGAGTATTTTATGAAGAAGAGCGGTGGTAAGCGGATGTGTGTGCTGATGGATAATCAGTACATGCACACGGGGTACCTCATATTTGGTAGGAAATGAGTTTAATGTGATGAATTGAGCGGGAAGAGTTGTGGGCGGGAAGGAGTTTAACGTGATGAATTGAGCGGGAAGGAGTTGAGCGGGAAGAGTTGAGCGAGATGAATTGTGGGTGGGAAGAGTTGAGCGGGATGAGTTGAGCGGGATGAATTGAGCGGGATGAATTGAGCGGGAAGAGTTTAATGAGAAAAATTATAAGTGGGGAAGAAGTTGAGTGGGCAATAAACGTGAACAAATTATTAATAAAATACCACGGTCAGCACATGAAACAGTTCCCTGCAGAGAACGTGCGCAATAAAATTGGTCAGCACAAAGTTTTTAATACCGGTACACGTTTCGCAGTGCACCATACATCATGCTACGGCACGTCGTGTAATAACGGTACACCCCGTATTACATCGTATAAACACGCAATACCGTTCACTGCTCTTTTTGCTTTTTCATACGCTCGTAGAACGAGCAGAACTTTCCTTTCTTTTCTATCAACTGGTCAAAACTACCGATCTCAAGTTCATTTTCAACGTAGATTACCGTGTCAAAAAGGTGTAAGATTGACAGGTTATGGATGACCATCAAAATTGTGCATTTGCTGCCTACCTTGAACAGCCGTTTTATCACGTTGTATTCTGAGGACCTGTCCATTGCGGACGTTGCTTCATCAAGTACCATCAGGGTTGATGTTCCGGGTGGTGCGCTGTCATGTGGCACGGATACGCCACACGTTTCGTATTTCATACCCTGATTTGCACCAAATGTCTCATCGCTACGCGTGTTGTAGCCCGCGTCCTGGTTGCCCTGCTTGTTCTCGCTGATGTTTTGATACGCGTCATCCTTGGCATGCATTTCATACGGAGCATTTGTGTTCGTTGCTTCGCTTTCGTCCTCAGCATTCTTAAACATGGTGCTGCTCTCATCCTCAAACCTAATTTTAACACTTTTCTCCTCCTCATCGCACCACCCCAACTTGTTTTCGCCCATGCACCCCTCACAGCTCGCACATTCCACATCATCCCCACAGCTACACATGCCATACACAACATTCCTCAGCAACACAATTTTTTGCCGCTCACCACCGGACAAGTTGCGCGCATTCTCGCCAAGCACACATCCATATCCTCTCATCCGCAGTATATCCTTGTGCACACCCATTCTCATCGCCATGCTCGCCGCACACCGCAGTTTGGCAGTGCTGCCGTATGTTATATTGTACAGCACTGTGTTTGCAAAGAGTTGGGGCTCTTGGCCCGCATACGTTAACCTGATATGCTCTTTCCTGTCTATGTGGCCGGTATACGGTGTTAATTCTAGGATTGCTTTTATTATGGAACTTTTACCTGCGCCGTTCGGGCCTATTATGGCTGCTTTTGTGCGTTGTGCGATTGTGAACGTAAGATTGGTGAGAAGCGGCGTGTTTTTGTGGGATATGGACACGTTGCGGAATTGGAGGATTGGTTGGGTGGTTGCAACGTTGTTGGGAGGTGTTGGGTGGTTAATGTGTATTAAATTGTTGGTTATGTCTTCGTTTGCAGTATTTTCATCCTCGCTGCTGTGATCAACGGTTCTGTCTCGCTCAACGGCAAGATCGTGATCAACGGTTCTGTCTCGCTCAACGGCAAGATCGTGATCACCAGTCCTGTCTCGCTCAACGGCAAGATCGTGATCACCAGTCCTGTCTCGCTCAACGGCAAGATCGTGATCACCAGTCCTGTCTCGCTCAACGGCAAGATCGTGATCACTAGTCCTGTCTCGTTCTGTTTCTACCACGTCATCCGCACGAATGCGCTCTTCGGTTCGCGGTTCTCCTTCCACATCTCTGCTGTACTCGCGTTCACTCCTATCATTAGCTCCCATTTCATTTTTATCTGCCATGTCACGTAGAAATGGCGAATTAAGATCAACGATTGCCTTCGAAAACCGGTGATAGATGCATCCTAAGTTGCTCAGCTCCTCCACAATGGTCCCACATATAGAAAAATACTGCAGCAGCTGATCGTTGCCCAACCCTTTACGGATCGTGTAGAGATACGTAACCATAAACATGTACAGAATGACCTTCTGTGTGAAATTCAGCAGTGCCAGTGATTGGTACTGCCTGGCACCGTAGAACTGCACTCTCCTGTTTACGTCATCGTAGTGCCCAAGCTCAAGCTGTGCCGTGCCATACACCGTTATTGTATCAACGTTGCGCACACACTCAAGACACTTAGCATGTGCCTTGTTCTCATACATGTTACTCTTTCTCCTGTACATCATCCTATAGCGGGTAATAGCACACGTAATGATGATATACGTGATGAGCATCACCACGTTGTACACGAGCGCTACATATCCGAACCTGCGGTACATCTCTGTAAATGCCAGAACAAACGTAACCAGCAATGGCAGTATTTCCAGCAGAGTGATATCTATGAGATCGCTCACCGCATCAGCGCTGCGTATCAGTGTTCTGCCCACCTCACCGCTCGAGTACTCGTGCAAACGCTCGCGTGCATTCAAACAATTTCTTAGAAAGTCGTTGCTTGCGTGCCGAGCAGCTTTTTGTATCGGATTGGCTGCTATGAAATCGTAGATCTCGTTGAAGAATGCGTATAGCACGTAGCACACCCCAAGTTTGATTATTAGACGTGATACGGTATGCGAGTCTTCGATGGCCTGTCCTATGTCTTTGAGGATGACCGAAGTGTAAATTTTAAGATACTTGGAGAGTACGATGCACGTGAATATTGGTGGCAGGAACAGGGCAAGTGTTGTGTTGTAGATGACGTATTTTTTGAAAATGAGTAGATGTATGTTCATTATGAGGGTGGTACCGTGGTGATCAAGTAATAGTACATGGAAGTGGCGGTACCGAGGGGGAAAGGAAATGTTTGTGGGGAATTGCACATGGTGGTAACACCGAGAGGAAAGGAAATGTTTGGTGTACGCGTATTGAGCGGAAAATGGAACTATGTCGGTCTATTATACGTATATTGGGAGGGAAAACACAAAGTGGCGTGCTAACTGAGAAATATGCGATTGTTTAATCGATAACAGTGGGTTATCGAGTTAAAGCGGTTATTTGCTCGTAATACAACGCACCACTTCCTTTAATGAGCAAAACAAGTAAATTTATGACATGTTATTCCTCCTTTTTCATATTTGATGAACTACCAAAATATACCATTTTTATAAACGGAAGTTCTTCGCTTGAGTGACTGTGACACGAATTTATTTTTAATTAACTGCAAACATTTCCGTGTTTCTGTTCATCTGGGAGTACCGTAAAAATGTGCTGTTCTTTTGCTGTAATTAACTTTTATTGGGTAAGCTACTCCTTTCCATTCATAGCAAATACGGTCCACCAACAGTAATTACGATTTTGTTGCAAATTAGGGACAGAGCTGTGGAGTATTCGCTTTAGCATTGTAACGATGCGCTTATCTGCACGGATATACGCATACGTTACGATTTTAACCGTGCTTCTATTTTCATACAAAATTTGACATCCACTAGAACAGCAGCTCTGGTTCTTTATGGAAGAGAAACGGTGATGAACTATTTTGGCAATGATGCTCGTTTCAATTCTTTGAATGGCAGCACAAACAGAACAATTGGTAAACGTAACACTTGATAAGAAAATAAAAAGAATTAGCACAGCAGCTCTCCTGATGGATCGTAGCACCGGTTGATGTGTTGTGCTGGTGATGCGCTGTGTTGACCAAAGACGCGCTAATGAGCTGAAAAGGATTGTTTATACCAGATAAGGATACGTAAAGTGTTTTAAAGCAAGAATTAAACTTGTGTAATATCACGCATTTAAGGATCGTGGTGTGACAAGGTAACTCTGGCCATCACCAGATGTAAAATTCGTGCTTCTGTCCGGATTCGAACCGGAGACCTCATCCGTGTGAAGGATGCGTGATAACCACTACACTACAGGAGCTCACGTCGCTACCACTTATTCTTTCAAGAACACACTTTTTATCACGGGCATTTTAACATGAGACGAAACGTTTACAAGGAACAGACCTGAAGGGGATTTAAACGCTCTTATAATCAAAAATAGAATTTAATCTGTGTCTACGTACGAAGTAAGTACAAACACCGATTTGTACGATCGGTAAAACGAAGTTGAGATTAACAGCTAGTAATTACGTTATCACTCACCCGTAACCACACTTATCCTCCTATTCTCACCAATCCCATGATAATTCGTTCCTACCCGCACAACCAATCCAACTTTTATACCACCCCGTCCTTCGTATCTCATCCTTACGCACACACTTCGCGTGCACTTCAGGAAAATAACACTTTTGTACTCTACACGCACAAAAAGATGCTCAGATGCACGGCCCTCGTACATAACGGTGAACGAAATTAAGAGAACATCATTCACACGTACCGTAGAAGGAACATTGAACACGTTTTTGATACTCCGTATGCCTTTTACGTTGTGGTACCTGGAAATAAACGAGAGAAGATGCGAAAATGTGAGTATGCCAAGCGATGCGAGATTGTAGGTGAGCAGTAGTGGAAGATACACGCCGTGTTTTTTGGCCGTGTATACGTCGTATATGAACGTAAAGAATGCGCTATCATCCTTAACAATCCTGCTATCATCTCTGTGCGTGTCTGAACGGATATAATTTTTACATGTTCTGAAGTAATTCTTACAATTGCTGGTATTTCCTTTCAGAAATACACCAAGTCTGTCCAGAGCGAACGTCCTTTCGCGCTTTTTTACGTTTTTGCTCTTATGCTTGTTCAGGTGAACGAACAGTTGCAGGTAATCGTTCGTTGGTTTGAGAAAGAATGCGAACAAAGAATGAACAAAGTCGCTCTTCGTTGAAGAAAGAGAGTGTTGGTCTACAGCCGGGTCGTTACTCGCAATACTAGGAATGTGCAGCAGGTCACCCATCGTATTGCCGTTCATTTTATCATTTTGTTCCATTTCACTGTTTATGTTCCTGCACTGGCTCATTCCCATCTCACACCTACCTTCATGAGCACAAATCGCTTCGTTATGTTTCGTTTTATTCACCGTTACGTTCCTTTCGATTACCGCAGCACTTTCATGTTTTTGGTTCTTCTCAGTTTTATTGGTTATGTACCTGTGCTCGTTGCTCATGGCGCTCTCCCGATAATTCTCAGCTCCTTTAGTGGTATATTCTTTAAATGTGCTGTTCTCATCATTTTTTGCATCATTTGATGCATCATTTAACGCGCTACTCACTCCTTCCTTACCCATGCAGTCATCGCTCACTCCTCTCTCATTCCTAATTCTTGTTTTACCACCGCGCCATATCCCAACCATTCTTTCTATCAATTCCTGATTGTTCTCTACGATCCTTTCAGCACAATAGATCAGGTACTTCTTGTCCAACCCGCACATATAAGCAATCAAACCATCAACAGTGTGCTCGTCAAACACCAAATTACCAACCGTTTTAACAACGTACCTTTTCATTCTTTCGTTACACCGCGGAACCACAACAAAAAGATGCTCAAGATTGTGCTCGCTCACCGTTATGTCGTACATTTTGGTTAATCGGTACACGCACCGTGCTGAGAGCGTGCTTATGGCCGTGTCAGGATCGAAGAGCATATCGAGATAGAACGAGAATGCGAGTGATGACAGTTTATGGATGTGTGAGAGCTGGAGAATCGCTTTAAGTGCATTTTTACGTACGTATGGATCGGTGTCTTCCAATGCAAATATTAGCGCTCCGTCTGTTACGTTGTTGTTCTTTTTGAACAGCCTAAGCAGATTGAATGGCTTGTGCACACTTTGTGTGCGTGTCTGTGCGTTGCTGCTCTGCTCTTCGTCTCCGTGTTCATCTGCGAGACGTACAAATTTGCACAATTTTTTAAAAAGTATGGACACCCTCTGTCTCACTCGTAAGGAGCTGTGGTGTATCAGCACGTTCAAGTTGTGCAGCAATAAATTCCTTGTTGCCTGGTCATCTGCCATTTTAATATCTATTTGTTTGAGAATGTGCAATATTCTGCTCGTCTTGGATTGCTGCAGCAGTTTATTGAGCAGTTTTGTATGACCCGATTTCGATATTCTTGTTCTATCAGGCTTGTTCGTACATTCTTGATCGATATTTTTGTTATGCTTTCCGATGCTTTCCTCGTTACGCTCATTCCCGTGTTTCTCGTCATTATCAATCTCTTGCTCTCCGTTTGCACGTGGCTTACCTTCAATTCCTTTCGCCTCGCTTCTAATATTCCTTTTCCTTACTCTTCGGAGCAATGATGACAAAAAAACACATTCTTCAGTGCATTCTGAGTACTTTCTCCTTTTATTGTCACTCTCACCGTTTAGCAGTCTGCAACGATGTATTTTCATTGAGGGCACGAAGGGGACGGCAGGATGTTTTGTTCATAACAATTGAGGTTGTTGATTGTTGCTCGGCCTGCAATGGAACAAAATCTTCATAGATAAACGTATTATTAAAATTTGTGGAAATGTGAGCATGTGACTGTTCCTTAAGGATGGTTTCTCGTCGTGATGCGCGGTACAATAAAAGGTTCAGGTCCAACAGTTTATAACACGGTACCAAATTTAAACTTAGTGGTGTAAAACCGTTTAAAAGTTGCTGACCATGTGTTGGTGAACAGCACGACCTGAGCTTGGTTACATGGAAGTGTGTAGGAGTATGGTAGCTCATCAGAAAGAATACTGCGAATAACTTGTATTCTGCTGTTTAGCAACAGAGTTATTCAACGCTGCACACAGCTATTTCATCAACCGCGCTTCTCTAAAGCTTACCTGGTATTGGCGTTAAGCTGCACCAATTAAATATCTTATACAACCCTGTGCTGGGATTGTAGGACGACTCACAGCGCTCTTTATACAATTGACAGGTTTATTTATTTACGGTCTATCCCGGTTTATGGCTCATTCCATACAAATCCAAGGTTTAGTGCCTTTGTTCCATGTTGCAATTTAACATTCGCTACAACGAATTAATACTTTTCGATCTTTGGGCATCCGCTTTGGCCCTGTACCGCAGACCGTACAATCGCCATTAAATTTTTCTCAATCAAACCAATCCACTGCCGAGTGTGCAACACTCATATGGGCCAGCAATGATGGTGGTGAGTCTGCTATTGCCATACATCTTTAAGTTCACTAAGTATACATCGATCAAGTTTTATTCCTGCGCAGAACTGATCGAACCATGGATTTTAGAGACAGTGCATTTCGGTTTACACACTCGACCGTTCGTGGTCCAAGTTCTTCTACGTAGTGTGGTAGACATCTTACCGGATGAACAAGTACCAACCTCGGCTTATAGAGCAATGATGATACAAAAGGAAGCATAGCTGTAAAAGATAGCTGCTGAGTTGATTATTGGGTTGTATAGTATTTTATGAAGTGCTGCAGACAACATAAAATTACAGCACAAGACAGCAACGAAATGCCTCAGCGACTGATTTTGTAGTATTACAA